GTTCTCCGTTGCCCATTGGAAAACTTGGCTTATATCTTCTTGGAGATTTGCCGTGTCCTCGATGGATGACACTCTCATGCAGATCCTAGTATCGTCTGCAAAGGATGATACGGTGCTATGGTTTACATCTCTAAGTCTGATATGAGTATGAGGAACAGGATAGGGGCGAGTACTGTGCCTTGTGGAACAGAGTTTTTCACTATGGCAGCTTCCGATTTAACTGTTTATCGCTATTTATGTTCGATTGGTTAGAATGTTGAAGATCCATCTGCCTACTTTAACAGTTATCCTTTTAGCACGCATTTTGTGTGCTATTACATCATGATCGCACTTGTCAAAGGCTTTTGCAAAATCTGTGTATACTCCATCTGTATTCTGCCTGTTTTCCAGTGCGTCCAAGACCATATCATAGTGGTCCAGTAGTTGCGAGAGGCAGGAGCGACCTGCTCTAAACCCATGTTGCCCTAGATTGTGCAACTGTTGGGAGTTCAAGTGGTTTGCAATCCTGCTTCTTAGAACTCATTCAAAGGCTTATATGATGTGGGACGTTAAAGCTACTGGTCTATAGTTCTTTGCTGCCACCTTTATGGAGTGAGGCTATATCTATTGTTTTTAGTGACTGGAATTTCACCTGTGTCTATGCTCCTTTTCCATAGCATACTTACGGCCCGTGAGAGGGGTTTCTTGCAGTTCTTAATAAACACAGAGTTCCATGAGTCTGGGCCTGGGGCTGAGTGCATGGCATGTTGTCAATGGCTTTCTCAGAGTCTAGTGGATTTATGGTTATGTCAGAAATTTGGCATACACTGACAGGGTTATGAGGCTCATTTATGAAAAAAATATTTGAATTGTCTGTCTTTAGACTGCTTAGTGGCTCGCTGAACACAGTCATATTGATATTTCAGTATCTCGCTCATTTCTTTGTTGTCATCTGTGTAGGATCCGTCTTGTCTTAGCAAGGGCTCTATACTAGATGTGGTTTTTGCATTGTTTTTGGCATAAGAAAAGAAACATTTCGAATTTCTTTCAATTTCACTAATCGCTTTTAGCTCCTCCTGCGTCTCCTGGACCCTGTATGAGTCCTTTAACTTGAGCTCAATATTTTCCATTTTCCTAGCTAGCGCTTTCTTCCGTGTTTTAGGTAGCATTCTTGAGGAGCTCAGTGATTCTTCGGCTTCTCCTGTAAAGGGAGCGTCTCTCTCTCTTTCTCTCTCTCTCTCTCTCTCTCTCTCTCTCTCTCTAGTTTACTTCTTCTCTTCATTTTTCTTAGGGGAATATTTCTTGAATATACTTCAGCTACCAGAAAGGTGATATTTTCAAGGTACTGGTTCGGGTCCATGTAATTTAAGATATCTTCCCAACATGTTTCATGTAGGACATAGTTTACCTGGTCCCACTTGATGCTCTTGTTGAAGATGAATTTGGTGAAGGTACCTTCATAGCTGTATGCATTTTGCTGATCAGGACCCCTGTGCATGTAAGTCTAGACTTCAGTTAGATTGTGATCAGAATTAGTTGTTTTTGATATTGTTAGGCTTCTTACCAGGTCCTCATTATTTGTGAAAATAAAGTCAAGTGTGTTCTCCAGTCTTGTTGGCTCCACTATCTACTGACTTAGGGTGTGTTAATTGTAGAAAGTCACCAAGCAGCAAGATGTTTGGGGATGGGATTGGAAGGTTTTCCAGACAGTAGTCAATTTTCCATAGCTGTTCCTTGAACTGTTGGTAAGTTGCATGTATTGGCTTACATACACGCACATTGACTAAGTTTTGGTTCTCGATATTTATTCTTAGAACTTCATCTACATCATTTGTGGTGTTCAGTATCTCTGGGAAAATGAGCGACTCTCTGACATACAGGCCAACTCTCCATTTTTGCTTGTTCTTTCTGAGACATCTGAAAAGGTTGTACCCAGGTATCCATATTTCATTGTCAAAGTAATCTTTTGCGCGGGTCTCTGCGAAGGCTGTAAACATTGCATTTGACTCCCCTAGAAGTCCACCAATGAAAGGTATTTTGTTGTTGGTGGATGGCTTAAGGCCCTGTATATTAGCAAATATAAATGAGGCTGTATTGCATTTTTGTTGGGGGGCTTTTATTGTTGGTATCAGTAGTTGTGAGTCTGGAGGGGCCACTGGATGTGCCTCCAGTCCAACAAGGCTCCAAGGTGGTGAACTATTTTGGTTATTTCTTTCCATTTTCTTTCGTTTCCTACCACTAAAAAATCACTTCGAGTGGAGTTGTCTTAACTATGGTAACTACTATGATTAGTTTTACGGGGGTGTACCTCCTGGTCCCTTTTAAGTGGTATGCGGGGCAGTTGCTGTTGTAACATTGTTTTTTTAAGGTGGAAGAATTTGCAAGAGGCAGAACGACACACTCCTTCAGACAGCATGTCGTGGCATTTTTTGGGATGCTTAAAGTTGCATGCCCCATTTGTTTTCATCATATTCCATGCTTACAGATGCCCCAAGCATAGAATTTGTACCATTTTACTTTTGGTTGGTTACAGTTCATACTGGATGTATTCCCAATTTGTGCAGGTCCTAGAACTGCACTACAGTGTTCGATAGCCTAGCCAGAGACACCACCATCTGTTTCCAGGAGGCCAACATTTTCCGCCGGAAGAGGACTTCTCTACTACGTCTGTAACAGGGGCTATGGCTGTGGTGGCTGTGGAAGAGTCTTTAGCCAAATCCGGATTTGCACTATGGCTGGAGGCTGAGTCTGGGTCAGCCCTAGAGCTAGAGGCTGAGCTAGCTAATTTTTTTTGTTTCTGTGTTTTTTTCCAGTGGGTGCCTATTTTTGGATCAGCTGCTCTAGACTGGGTATTCTGAATGTTAAATTTTACTCCTCTCCCATCCTCTATATATTCTAGGTAGACTATCCAATAGTTCTTCTTTGTTTTCATGCTCATTATTTATTAACCTCCTGAGCACTTTCCTGATACCTGTCCATAGTTCCACATCCTTATTGCAGATCCAGAAACACCTTTCTAGATGGATGTCATTTTTGGATGCAGTGTTTATTCTTGCACAGGTGACATGTTGTTTTGTAAAACAAAGGTTGCATGTGATTCTGAATATTTTCCCAAGAGCCTTTTCACATATCCCACAGGTATACTGTACTACCATCCTGCCTGTATCCTACTTGCAAACCGGGTACCACAAGAACCTGATTTTCACTATCTTTCTGCTCTGCACTCAGGTGGTGGGGTGTTAGAGGGTCAATACATGGATATGTGGGATGTATTTAATATGGAGACTACTATACATTCAAAACATTTATGGTATATAACATCACACAGACTTTTCCTATTCAGGTATATTTCCTGAGCACCCCACATACACCAGCAGGTGCATGTTTTCTTGCTAAAGTTGGGTTATTGTGGTGTGGGGTATATGGTGTTATTATGGTGGTATATGGTGGGCCTGTGTGGTTGCCTGATAGCCCTGCCAGGTGTATGGCTGTAACACTGTACCCCAGGGTACATGGCACTTCTCACATGTGATGCCATATTTTAGTTTAAAATCACTTCCATTATGTTTAATCACTATCCATGAGTCATTTCACTGACAATTTAGATTCACTAGGTTTCTCCACTATGTATCGGTATCCTAGTCATGTCATTATAAGTGGTAACTCAAACCTTCGTGTGTACTCTTGTCACATGTCAACACCAGGACGGGTAGGTTGCCACACACTGCCACACCACTATTTTTTCTTTGTTTTATCATTAAGTATTACAGGCTCTTATTTTCTGTATTACAACGAAATTAATTTTAACCCTTTATCGTGCAAGTTGCCATATTGGAGCATCATAATATATATATATATATATATATATATATATATATATATATGTGTGTGTGTGTGTGTGTGTGTGTGTGTGTGTGTGTGTGTGTGTGTGTGTGTGTGTGTGTGTGTGTGTGTGCGTGTGTGTGTGCGTGTGTGTGTGTGCGTGTGTGTGTGCGTGTGTGTGTGTGTGTGTGTGTGTGTGTGTGTGTGTGTGTGTGTGTGTGTGTGTGTGTGTGTGTGTGCGTGTGTGTGTGCGTGTGTGTGTGTGTGTGTGTGTGTGTGTGTGTGTGTGTGTGTGTGTGTGTGCGTGTGTGTGTGTGTGTAAGACAAGCCACGGGGGTGGAAATCTTTAGCTCAGGTACTTTCACACTTCTCAGTGCATCATCAGGAGCTGTGCAATGTTGCAATGCAGCGACTGAAGGAGTGAGGGGAAGTTTTCTCAGAGTAGCACAGTGTGCAGGTGACAAACTCGCATTGTGCTACTCTGAGAAAACTTCCCCTTCACTCCTTCAGTTGCTGCCATGCAACATTCCATAGTTCCTGATGACGCACTGAGAAGTGTGAAGGTACTTGAGCTAAAGATTTCCACCTACAGTGGCTTGTCTTGCATCCATATATATATATATATATATATATATATATATATATATATATATATATATATATATATATATATATATATATATATATATATATATATATATATATAAGTATATTCATTATTAATGGTGTAGATTAGAAATATGTACTGAATGCACACATGGACATTCCTATGAAGGCTGACAGATTTAGCTGACAGTCAAATATTCACTGACTGACTTGTCAGAGAGCACACAGACTTCACTGCGACATATTTAATGACCCAGGACATTCACTCAGCTTTCATTTTTAAGTCATCACTTATGAGTCTCTCCTTGCATAATTAACCTCCACGCCTCGAACCCCCTAAAACAGATACCCACCAACCCTTGCTAATGCTTTATTAATATGGTAGCAACAATAATAATAATTGCAATAAAGTTCTATATAACTAAAGCAAACTGTCAAGCAATGTCACGATAGTGATCATTTTGAGTAGCTATGTAGATCCTGTCTGAAATGGGTCAGGTGACTGTGTTTTTATATTCTTATGTTTTATTAAGCGTTCTGAATATGTGGAGAGTGTAGAGGGTATAGGGTATCAGGTTGGAGTAGACACTCACCTGGACACACTGATCCACATACTGGCTGGTACACACACTCTTATTGCAAGCTTCCTATGTCCCTGTCTTAAACTGTTTTTTTCAACTCCCTAACAAGTTACTTTCTGTTTCCTTCATCTCCTTGTCAGTGCCTTCATCTCTCCCCATTTCTGAGATGAGCTTGGACAGAGTGCACTTCAGCTATCCGCACATCTGGAACACAAACACAAAGGTGGATTACACATACCCACACAATGGCTTCCCTTACACTGCCAGTACAAGACCGGGAGCCGCTCCACTGGGGCTTCCTGCAGTCATCAGTGTTACTGCACCCTCCCGCACACCCCAGCCACAGCTGTAACCATTACTCCGCTCTCTGATGATGGAGATATCTTCATACAAATTTCATTTCTCCTGCGTATAGGATACGCCATCTTGAGAGATGTAAATTCGCGAGTAATAGAAGTCCAACTCTTCTGGAACGCTACCCTTGAAGTTCACGCAGCTCTTGAACATTAATGAATTCAGTGCCCTACTGAAGCTGACAGATTTTAATGCTATTTATAAGTAAAACACCATTTATGATGGAATATGACAGGGAAACACAACTGGCTTTTGTTCCCGTTTATATACATAACTATCGTATAGAACAGGGTAACAACACAAAGTTGATTTAATCAGTTTCGCGAATTAAAAGCAAAACCCCATCTCTATCACCACTGCCACAATCGCCAAATCTATTACTAGCTTCATTACCGCCACTATTACCAATACTACATTACTGTTACTATCACCAACAGCATCGCCACTATCACCACTCTGATAACTGATACAGACATGAAGTGAACATTGCACTACATACAATGCTTTGCATGTCGGTAGCAATTTACGTTTTCTGAAAAACAATGAACAATTTGTGAAAACTAAAAAAATATTTTAGCATTTGTATTTGTCTAAAAGAAATTAATCTAACATGAGGACTAGCCCATGTACAATATTTCACATGCCGTCAATGATCACAGTGGTGGAAGAAATGTTTAGTAAAAGACATTTTTCGAATTATTAACTCCAAGAGGGTTTATGACCCAGACTAATGCTAGAGAGCCAAACCAGTGAAATGTTTCATAAAAAGTGTGACAGAAACTGTTGGAATGTTAAGTGTCAGGCTCTTGCTCAGACAAGATGACACAGATGACAATAAAGAAATGAGTGAGATACCGAAATCCCAATACGACTCTGTGTTTAGCGAGTCACTAATCAGTCTAAAGATTGACAATCCAAGTGATTTTTTCATGAATGAGCCTCAAAACTCCATCAATGTATGCCAGATTTCCGACATTACCCTAACTCCGATAGACTTTGAGAAAGCCATTAACAGTATGCCCATGCACTCAGCCCCAGGCCCAGACTCGTGGAACTCTGTGTTCATTAAGAACAAGAAACCCCTTTCGCACGCCCTAAGTACACTATGGAGAAGGAACTTAGACATGGGTGAAATTCCAGTCACTAAAAGCAACGGATATAGCCCCACTTCATAAAGGTGGCAGCAAAGCATTAACTAAGAACTATAGACCAAAAGCTCTAACGTCCATCATCATAAAAATCTTTGAAAGAGTGCTAAAAAGCAGGATTGCCAACCACTTGGTTTCCCAAAAACTGCACAATCCAGGGAAACATGGGTTCAGAGGAGGTCGCTCTTGCCTCTCGCAACTACTGGATCACTATGATATAGTCTTGGATGCACTGGAAGAAAAACAGAATGCAGATGTAATATACACAGACTTTGCAAAAGCCTTTGACAAATGTGATCATGGCGTAATAGCGCACAAAATGCGTGCTAAGTGGGGAGATGGATCTTCAACTTTTTAACCAATCGAACACAAAGAGTAGTGGTCAACAGTGTTAAAGCGGAAGCTGCCATAGTGAAAAACACTGTTCCACAAGGCAAAGTGCTAGCCCCATCCTGTTCCTTATCCTCATATCAGACATAGACGATGTAATCCACAGCACCTTGTCATCCTTTGCAGACGATACTAGGATCTGCATGACAGTCATCTACTGAGGACACGGTTAACCTCCAAGAAGATATAAACCAAGTTTTCCAATGGGCAACGGAAAACAATGTGATGTTCAATGAAGACAAATTCCAACTACTCCATTATGGAAAACTGGAGGAGAAAATAAACAGAACTGAGTATTCTACAAACTCTGATCATACATTAGAGTGAAAAAATAATGTGAGGAACCTGGGAGTTGTAATGTCTGAGGATCTCGCTTTTAAGGATCACAACAGCGCCATAATCACAACTGCAAAGAAAATGATAGGATGGATAATGAGAACATTCAAGACAAGAGATGCCAAGCCGCTTATTATCCTTTTCAAATCACTTGTTCTCTCTAGGCTGTAATACTGTTGTACATTAACATCTTCGTTCAAAGCAAGTGAAATTGCAGATCTAGAGAGTGTACAGAGATCCTTTACTTCACATATAAGTTCCATCAAACATCTCAACAACTGGGAACGCTTGAAATCACTTGACTTGTACTCACTGGAGCGCAGGCGAGAGATATATCATATTCTACACATAGAAAATCCTAGAGGAATGGTCCCTAATCTGCACACAGAAATCACTCCCTACAAAAGTAAAAGACTGGGCAGGCAGTACAAAATATCCCCAATGAAAAGTAGGGGTGCCGTTGGCACACTAAGAGAAAACACCGTAAGTATCCGGGGCCCAAGACTGTTCAACAGCCTCCCACCATGCATAAAGGAATTACCAGTAGGCCCCTGGCTGCCTTCAAGCGGGAGCTGGACAAATACTTCAAGTCGGTACCGGATCAGCTGGGCTGTGGTTCACACGTTGGACTACGTGCGGCCAGCAGTAAGAGCCTGGTCTCACAGTGGATCAGGCCCTGATCCACCGGGAGGCCTGGTCGTGGACCGGGCCGCAGGGGCGTTGATCCCTAGAATACCCTCCACGTAGACTCTAATATTTTGAAGACCCGGCTGCTCTCTGAGGCTTCAGAAACACAAAATGTGTGTTAGAGTTGCTGACACTAACAAAGGACTTTTCTGTCATGTCAGAGACCACAGTCATCCTGTTGACCTGTCCTCTGTCAGAACTGTCTACCCTCCTTCTAGCCTTCCCAGATGCTGTCCTATTGAAGCATCCCTTATTCACAAATTTCCTAATATGAATCTTAGTCTTGACTTTGTCTCTGTGGATGCTTTCCCTTCTCATTACATCGTCAAATTATCTAAATCTCAAAACATTCGTGACTTGACGTGACGTTTGCCTCTTCTCCTTATCTCTTCCCCTTACATTTTCATTGTCTTTTCTGTGTTCTGCCTAGGTAGCTTCTGTCTTATTGGATCTTTGTCCCACAAGGAATTTTGTCCTCCCGTTGGCCAGTAGCTCAGCTGCAGTGCTCCTCAGTCTTCTTGTTCTTATGGATTATCTCCACTATTACTAATACTATATCTTCACTAATACTACACTCTCTGCCTTCAGTTTTTCTCTGTTACTACATTCTTATTTGTGCCTCAGCTAATGCTGCACTGCTACTATTATTACTACTACTCCCTCATCTCAATCTACCACTCACATCCCCCGCCCCCTCTCTTGTATATATTCTGGCTCTGTGTGTGACTTGTTAATGGTCCAAGTTGGACTGAAACATCACCATAAGTTTCAGTCTCCTGTGTGCAGGTTATTTGTGTATTGTTCCAGTCACGGAATTGTGCCATTTTGTTCTTTTCATCAACAATTATCACTAATGTGTCACCAAGGTGCAGTGACATCTTGTTATCAGGGTTCTCAACCCCTGATAGCAAGATGTAGTTGTGCAGGGTGTCAGGGGGTGCAAGTTGTGTCAGGGGGTGTAGGCTGTGTCAAAGGGGTGTAGGTTGTGTCAACGGGGTTGTAGGTTGTGTCAGGGGGTTGTAGGTTATGTCAGGGGGTTGTAGGTTACGCCAGGTAGTATTGGGTGACAGGGGGTGTAGGTGTGGGGAATTTTGTGATTTCCCAGAACCATTATGCCTACCCCCAGGTGGGGGAATTTAGGGGAGGGGGGGGGACGTCACCTAGAGAGATGTCAATTCTGTATATACTTAATTCTAAGAATTGGCCTCGTAACTCCTAGGTTAATTATACACTACAATTACTACATGACTGCTACACATGTTTAAGTTAAAGATAGTCGTTTTGCTTAAGGCAGTAGTTATATTTCCATGCACAATAACACCTTAGGTACCTTGAGCTCGCCAGTTTGAGTGCCCACAGGGTCTACTTACCTACCTGGAGGTAGGTAAGTGGGGGTTTACCTGGAGTTTACCTGGAGAGAGTTCCGGGGGTCAACGCCCCCGCGGCCCGGTCTGTGACCAGGCCTCCTGGTGGATCAGAGCCTGATCAACCAGGCTGTTGCTGCTGGCTGCACGCAAACCAACGTACGAGCCACAGCCCGGCTGATCAGGAACTGACTTTAGGTGCTTGTCCAGTGCCAGCTTGAAGACTGCCAGGGGTCTGTTGGTAATCCCCCTTATGTGTGCTGGGAGGCAGTTGAACAGTCTCGGGCCCCTGACACTTATTGTATGGTCTCTTAACGTGCTAGTGACACCCCTGCTTTTCATTGGGGGGATGGTGCATCGTCTGCCAAGTCTTTTGCTTTCGTAGTGAGTAATTTTCGTGTGCAAGTTCGGTACTAGTCCCTCTAGGATTTTCCAGGTGTATATAATCATGTATCTCTCCCTCCTGCGTTCCAGGGAATACAGGTTTAGGAACCTCAAGCGCTCCCAGTAATTGAGGTGTTTTATCTCCGTTATGCGCGCCGTGAAGGTTCTCTGTACATTTTCTAGGTCGGCAATTTCACCTGCCTTGAAAGGTGCTGTTAGTGTGCAGCAATATTCCAGCCTAGATAGAACAAGTGACCTGAAGAGTGTCATCATGGGCTTGGCCTCCCTAGTTTTGAAGGTTCTCATTATCCATCCTGTCATTTTTCTAGCAGATGCGATTGATACAATGTTATGGTCCTTGAAGGTAAGATCCTCCGACATGATCACTCCCAGGTCTTTGACGTTGGTGTTTCGCTCTATTTTGTGGCCAGAATTTGTTTTGTACTCTGATGAAGATTTAATTTCCTCATGTTTACCATATCTGAGTAATTGAAATTTCTCATCGTTGAACTTCATATTGTTTTCTGCAGCCCACTGAAAGATCTGGTTGATGTCCGCCTGGAGCCTTGCAGTGTCTGCAATGGAAGACACTGTCATGCAGATTCGGGTGTCATCTGCAA